AAAAAAAAAAAGCCAGGCACAGTGCTTCATGCCTGTAATCCCAGCATCTTGGGTCTTCTACACCCTTTCTCATGTTATCTTTACAACTGTGGGGTGAAAGATAATTATTCTATTTTACCAAAGACAGATTTGAGGCTTAGAAAGGTTAAATTATTTATTCCTGAAATCAGTCCTCCTCTTTATTTGAAAAGCCTCTGGAAGACAGAGATCCTGTCTTTTTTTTTGAGATGGAGTTTTGCTTTTGTTGCCTAGGCTGGAGTGCAAAGGCAGGATCTTGGCTCACCGCAACCTCCACCTCCTGGGCTCAAGCGATTTTCCTGCCTCAGCCTCCTGAGTAGCTGGGATTACAGGAATTTACCACCACGCCCAGCTAATTTTGTATTTTTTAGTAGAGATGGGGTTTCTCCATGTTGATCAGGCTGGTCTTGAACCCCCGACCTCAGGTGATCCGCCCACCTCAGCTTCTCAAAGTGCTGGGATTAGGCGTGAGCCACCGCGCCCGGCCTGGGATCCTGTCTTAAACGCTGTTTTTCTTAACAGCACCTAGCACGGAGCTCTCCACGTGGTAGGCGCTTAGAACGTTTGTGCTGAAGATACGGATTCTCAATCAAAGCTCCAAGCGCAAGGCCTGGGAGCTGAAGCACCAGAGGGCGCCCACGAGCCCACCCACCCGCGGGTCCCCAGGGCCCAAGCCGGACCTCAGGCCTGGGTGCGGCCCTTTGGCCCCAAGCAGCTGGGCGCCCCAGCAGAATAGGGACGAGGGGGGCCCCCACGTCCTCCGTCCGCCCCGCCCCCTACCCCCCACTCCAGGCCAGGCCACGCGGAGCTGCCGGGTGCCGGGTGCCGAACGACGACTACACATCCTGTTTTTGGGGCCCGCGGCTCTGCCGGCGCCTCTGCTGATCTTTTCTTTCCCCTGGGTGCTGACGCCAGCTCCTCTTCCCCCCCGAGTCTCCCCACCCTCCCCAGGGGTCTGGGGCCTTCCCACTGCTGAATCACCACCACCCCGCACTCCCCCGGGGCTCAGGCAGGGGTGGGGACTGCCCCAGCCTCGGCCACCACTCGATCCCTAGGGTTGGCTGAAGGCACCAGGCCCAGGGCGCCTTTCTCAGCATCTTCCCGCGGAGGCTGGTGGGGCGGAACAGGGGGAAAGAGGACGAACGCCTAGTGCCTAGGGTAGGGCCTCCGCTGGGGTGGGGTGGCCAGGAGGAGGCGGAGAGACCTGACCTTGGGAGGCCTGACTTGCGGGCCATAGGGGCAGTGGGCTGTGTGGGGGAAAGTGGCGAGCCCGGGACTGGGCCGGGGGCGAGGCTGGGGGCGGGACGGGGCTGGAGAGGGGGAGACCGGCCCTCGGACTTCCTGGTTGGCCCCGCCCCGCCCCGCCCCCGCCCCGCCGGCCCGCCCCCCCCACTTCCTCCGGCCTCCCGCTCTCACTTCCTTCTCGAGCCCGGAGCCGCTGCCGCCGCCCCCAGCTCCCCCGCCTCGGGGAGGGCACCAGGTGAGGCCCGGCCGGGGTTGGCGGTCAGGGGTCCGGGGGAGGGGAGCCTGGCCGGCCCAGGACTCGGCGCGGGCGCCGGCCCATGAGTTAGTTGGCGGAGGCCGCGGGCGGGAGCTTCTCGGCTCAGTCCAAGTAGGGCGGGCGCGGCCGGGCGGGGCGGGACGGGGCCACTGCGAGCCGGCGGAGGCTCGGCGAGGGTGGGTTCCCGGCGGTAGTGCCGCTTCTCGGGAGCAGAGAGGAACCCCGGAGGTCTGAGGGTCCCGGGTTCCGAGAGAAGTGCCTCTGAAGTGGAAAAGCTCAGATCTGGGAGATGGAACTCAGGTGGGGTGTCCTCAGAAGTTGGAGGGGTGTTGAGCAGTGCGTGAGGGGAGAGGGCTTCTGGGCTGGAGAAGGCGCGCCCTATGCTCCGGCAGTTGTGACATTTGTGGGGGTAAGAGGGGGCGGTGTCTGGGGCCTGCGAAGCTCTCTCCGTAAAGATCGATGCTAATCTAGACCCACAATCGGGCTGCAGCCCGAAGGCCCTCTGCACCCAGGAGGACCGGGGTTGGGGTGGGGGGAGCCCCGCCGACCCCAGTCGTTCTCTGTATATCTGTTTTCCTGAGTCCCAGCCTCACCTGGAGCCAAACAGTAGGTATTTAGTGAGCAAACATCTGTTGTTCCTAGCTGACCAGAGCCTGGCCTTGCTCTTTTGGGAGAAACTTGGGCTTCCCCTGTGACTGGAGGTGGAAGGACTCTCATTCAGAGGTACTGATAGTCTCTGACAAGTTTTTGTTGTGGCTTTTGGGCACGATTGAGAACCATCTCCTAGTTTTCCTCTTCATTCTTAGGCCCTAAATTATACACATGCTCCTACTGTCTTCCTCCACGCCTTCTGTAGTTTCTACCCACAAATCCGCCATCACTCTTCTCATTCCTTTCAGTCTCTTCCTCCAAACATAGACATACCTAGGCCTTGACCTCTCTTCACCTACCCTGCCCCGTGTTCATCTTGGTCCTCTGCGGCTGGCCCCATCCCATCCCTTCCCTTCCCAGCTCTGGAGCCCACACACATACACCCCCTTGCTTCTTCCATCACCTCTCATTGCTCTTGAACCCTCAGCCTGTCACCCGCTGTCTGTCCCCTTCCCTCCCACCCACTTAGCTCCAGCTTTGGGATCAGGATCTGTTGTAGAAGACTTAGTGAGTTTGACAGTCTTTTTGAACGTCCCTGTCTTTGAGAGGCAGTCTGCAGCCTTCCAGTGAGAGATGAATTAAAGAGCTGGAAAACGTGTGTGTGTGTCTACATCTTTATCTCTTAGAGACAAAATAACTGCCCTCAGCCTTGAGAGGGCACAGAGCAAGGGAAGCCAGCATAATGAAGGGAACCTGCAGTGAGTGAGGTTGTGGTTAGGCAGGAGGAAGCAGTCTGTAGCAGCCAGGGTAGGGTGACACAGGAATAAGACTGGTAAGAGAGGCCGTGGGAAATCAAAATCACCCTGACACCTGGTGTTTGACTAAGGGGACAGGCCTGGAACCTGGAAGATAGCCTGAAGTTCCCTGATTCCAGTAGTACCTACTAGTTCCAGCATCACCTGGTGGAAAGAATGGAACCAGCTGGGTGTGATGGAAATAAAGGGAGAAGGCAAAGGCAGGATTCTGGAAGAAAGACTATAGCTGGTCTAACTTCAGTCTTAACTTTTAGTTTTGAATTAAGAAGCAGGTGAGGCAAAGGTGGCTGCCCCTTCTTTCCTGCTGCCTTCCGGGGCCTGCCCAGGCTGTGTACCCACATGCCCTGGTCTGCATCAGGGCCTTAGTGACCAGGAAGTCCTCTAGAGGTCTACTGACTCCCCTGCCTTCAGGCATCCTTAATATTCCCATGTCACCTTGGACCCTATTCCTTCTCAGGAATTCCTCCCAGATTTAATTTCAGTCCATCCTGGCTATGGAAGCTCTTGTTGTTTCCACTGTAAAGCTCCTTCCTCAAGCTTTTGGGGTACATGCTGAGGATCTTGCTTCTCTCTACCTCCTCCAGTCATCTGTATTCATTTCTCTCCACTAGAAAAAAAGAGAAGTAGGCCGGGCACAGTGGCTCATGCCTGTAATCCCAGCACTTTGGGAGGCCGTGGCGGGTGGATCACCTGAGGTTGGGAGTTTGAGACCAGCCTGACCAACATGGAGAAATCCTGTCTGTACTAAAAATACAAAATTATCCGGGTGTGGTGGCACATGCCTGTAATTCCAGCTACGCAGGAGGCTGAGGCAGGAGAATCTCATGAACCTGGGAGGAGGAGGTTGCAGTGAGCCGAGATCACGCCATTTCACTCTAGCCTGGGCAACAAGAGTGAAACTCTGT